CTAATACCTAAACTCTGCTAATATTTCATCCACACAATAGGAATGCTTCATAGTTCACTTCTGTCTAACAACTTTCTACAAAGGTGACTCCAAATATACTAACAGACTACTAACAATTCATTATCTAGGTCTGCTTTTTCTTGCACTAGGTTTCTCTCTGGAACAGTGTATTAGGAAATGGTTTTACCTTGGTCATACTTAATTCACATTACAAATACTTCTTGGAACTATTTCTGTGACTAATTTTGATGTACTTAATACAAGAAATCTGGATTTTAATGTAAGAAATATCACTGGATTATCTTTTGAACTATCAAGTTCTCTCCTGGAAGCTTTATTTTAAAGGGAGAGATTTTGTCAAACAGGAAAACCTATTTTCAAGGAATAACTTGGGGGAAAAAAAAAAAAGGCAATAGTTGCATCTCTCTTCCATGTTATCAGTGACAAAAATTTTTTGTCACAGATTCTCTTCCATTTATCCTTTAGCGTTACAGCAGCATAGCTGATGCTTTAACAACTTCAGTTTCAGATGCCACTGAAAATTTTATACTCAACTGTTATGACTACACAATTTAATTAGTGCTATTTGGTTTAACAAGCTGTTTAGCACACTTTTAATTTTAAAAAAAAGCTTTTTTGGGGGAAATCTGGAATTTCACATGCTAATAACATGCTTTATCTTAAAACCTAGCCAGCAGAGCAGTAACTCTTGTTCCATGGACAAACTAACACTTATCTTTACCACTTCTTTTCCAGTTTTGAAGCAAACTTTTTTCCTGAACGTTAGGAAGAAAAATGTCAGAAACACATAATTAGTACAGATCTTCCCTGTTCCTTGAAGAAACCTCTTCTGTGTTCACAAATGGTTCTTCCATCCTTAACTTCTTGAAAGGGTTGCTACCAAAACGTAGACCGCTGTTCAGTTGTGACTTCTGTGAAGCTTCTGTCCTGGCATGAACACTAACTCACGTTGTTCTCTTCAGGGTAACGACATCATTGCTGCTGCTAAACGAATGGCGCTGCTAATGGCAGAGATGTCGCGCCTGGTGAGAGGAGGTAGCGGAAACAAGCGTGCCCTTATTCAGTGTGCCAAGGATATTGCTAAAGCATCAGATGAAGTCACTCGATTGGCCAAAGAGGTGGCAAAGCAGTGCACTGACAAGCGCATTAGAACAAACCTCTTGCAGGTAATGAGTTAATGAGTTAATTTGTAAATGCCTCAAATACGCCCCCCCGCCCCGTTCCTCTCAGTGTGAGTGAGCACAGGAGTTGTGGCAGTAAATCATGTAGCTTTCCTTGGCTTGTAAAGTTTTGTCAAGTTCTATGTCTGTTTTTAGATCCCATAGTCATATATATATTCTTCCCATAGTCATATATATATTCTGTAAAGTCAGGATCTGTTTACAGGTGACTGGATGATGCTAGTGTCTGAAGACATTTTGAAAAACACTGTGTTATGAACACCGGTCGTCCTAAGTCTGCATTGCTTCGTATTTCATCTACCCATTCCTTTGTATCAAGGAATAGTAGTGGAAATGTAACACTCCTTAGTTTTTCAGTCTCAGCCAAATATACGTCATCCCATTCCTAACCGAGCAGACCTCCGAGGAATATCTGGAGGCAAGCAAAAATGTTGGCTCCATCCCAAAAATTCCCAAGCAAGTAAAATGAGATTCAAGTATTGTGCCAATATTTGTCAGAAAGTCTTGAAGGTTGTAAGATCCCTTCTATGGTTATTCTTATGTAACAGTAAAACAAAATAAAATAGTTTATCTGAAAAAACAATAGATAATGTATTGGTTCAGTTTACAATGTGAAGTGTTTTTTTTCATCTTTGTTCCTTAGGTCTGTGAGCGAATCCCAACCATCAGCACACAACTCAAAATTCTTTCCACTGTCAAAGCTACCATGCTGGGCAGAACTAATATCAGCGATGAAGAGTCGGAACAGGTAAGAAGTGTAAAAATTGATGGTCGTGGGGAATTGTCGATCTGTTTTATGGGGAAAAAATATAAAGCATGGAATATCAGATGTGCTCTAGGAACTCCGTGTTTGGAAGCTTACCTCAGCTCTTTAGTGAAGATAATTTTAGTATAGCACCTTGGCATCTGGCTCCGAAGCTACAGTTTAATAGAGGAACATCAATACTTCCCAAGCCAAAAAGCTGCTCTGGCTCCAATTTTTATGCAAGCAACTTCTTAATCTCGATTTAAGAGTAAAAAGCGAGCGAAGGGAAGAGCTTGCTGCTGCGAATGGGGCAGGGTGGGCATCGGCGGGGAGGCAGCGCCCCCTGGTGGAGGCAGCGGA